ACCCGTTCCAGTGCTTCACCACCCTCATTGTAAAAAATTTCTTCCTTATATTTAATCTAAATCTCCCCTCTCTTAGTTTAAAACCATTACTCCTTGTCCTGTCACAACAGGCCCTGCTAAAAAGCCTGTCCCCATCTTTCTTATAAGCCCCCTTCAGATACTGTAAGGCTGCTCTAAAGACTGCCCAGAGCCTTCTCCTCTCCAGGCTGAACAGCCCCAGCTCTCCCAGCCTTTCCTCCCAGCAGAGGGGTTCCAGCTCTCGGATCATTGCTGGGGCCTCCTCTGGCCCCGCTCCAACAACTCCAGGTCTGTCCTGTGCTGAGGGCTCCAGAGCTGGATGCAGGACTCCTGGGGGGTCTCACCAATGCGGGGCAGAGGGGCGGAATCCCCTCCTTTGCCCTGTGCCCACGCTGCTGCCGTGATGTGTTGGGCTCATGTCCAGCTGTTCATCCCCCAGCACCCCCAAGTCCTTCTCGGTGGGGCTGCTCTCAATCCCTTCATCCCTCAGCCTGCATTGATAGCAGGGGTTGCCCCGACCCAGGTGCAGGACTTTGTATATTTAGAAATAAATGGGGATGTCATGCAGACAGTGCTGGACATGAAGTTATGATGCTGGCAGTACCATGTCCTCTGCTAGCCCTGCCATTTCACCAGCAGTGCCCCACCCTTTCACCTACCCTGAGAAGTCCTTTAGGTGCTCATTAAGGTATCAACAAAGGACGAGCCATGCTGTGCAAAAACCCTGGCTCCTGTGACACTACGGGATGAAACTTTGCTACCTCTACACATCCTACGCAAAGATAAACACCCCCTCCCCCCCCAACCACACACTGAACTGGCTCCAGCATATTTTCTTGACCCATAAGCAGGTACTAGTTTTAAGCTACGCACAGTCCAAAACACCAATTCTTGATGTGTCTCATGTTCTGTCTCTACACCATCTTGTACCTTGCTGGCTGGAAGAGAGGTACTTGGCTTGGCACGGAGACACAGGCAGCCCGGGGTGCTGACATGCAACAGGCATATGCTGAAATGTGGGGAAAAGTGAGCTCCTTTCGGAAAGATGGAAAATGAAACCAGATGCCACCAGTACTGAGAGAGAGAAGAAACCAGATCTGATCCTTTAGATGACTTGATGGAAGGTGCTCATGTTCAGAGGCAGTAGGACCAAATTCATCTCTAATTAAGTAACTAATGTTACAGCAGGATAAACATGATCTTTTAAGCATCACAGGTATGAAACGGGGACAGAGAAGGTCACATAGCAACAACTGCTTGAGTTCCAGCATGAGCACTATGGAATTTTACTGAGGGACATGCCCTGGGTCAATTGTCCCCAAGTCATCTCACTGTGGCAGATGCCATCGAGCACTGCAAGAAGGCTGCTATGTGCATCACCAGGAGCTTTAGCTTGGGAGCAACCAGCAGCAAGCAGAAACCCTCTCAAATGCCAGCTCAAACCCCCATGCCCTCAGGGCAACTGATGGAATCAGCCCAGCAAATGCAGCAACCTATATTTTAGTTTGCTTCTGCCTTCATGGTGCACATAGTTAGAAAAAGTGACAAATATTTACAGTCTCTTTGACTCAGATGCAAGCACATCTTCAGAAAAAAAAATAAAATTGAACAAAATAAAGGAAAAAACGCCAGCAAGATTCCCAAAATAGGCCAGATGCTTCCACAGCTTTTTGTCTTTGAGCTATGACAACCATTGCCCCTGGAGATCTGTTTGCACATATTGGTCTTTGTGAGCACCCCCAGGCAGCACCACAGAAACAGAGTCGCTGTCGATTCTCTCCACCCCAGTCCGCACCCATACACCGCACCCTGCTCTGCTTTTGAGGGGCTTTCACTCCCTGTGCTGGGCAGTGGGATGCTGCAGCTAAAATTGGATCTAGGCAAGAACAGGCAGGTGGGGAGGTCTCTGTCGGAACGGGTCACGAAAGAGTTGAGACCCGTGTGCCCCAGCTAGTCAGTGACTGACATACTCTTTGCACGGAGCTGACACCAGCACAAGCCAAGACCCTGAAGCTGCCAAAGGGAGCCCCAGCCGTACCCCACCGAGCAGCTCCACTGCAGCCCCGCTCCTCCCCTGCAAGCGTTGCTGCTGCCCTGCCGGAGCCAGGCAGCAGGCACGGATTGCACGAGGTTGCTCCAGGACGCCTGTCCTCTTGCCTCGGCGCCACGGCTTCCGAGTGATGGATGCACTGGAAAATGTTTTTCGTTGCCTCCCTCATTAGGGAGACAAGTGCTCTGCCGAAGACATCTCTGATCCTATGCTGCTCCAGGCTACTGGAGCTAAACATAAAGCCACGTAGAAAAAGGACTGTTCAGCATATGGCAACATATGCAAATAGGTCTTACTGTAAAATAGGACCCTGGCCTAACCAGCACGTGGGAATTCAGGGGAAAGAAAAAGCAGAGAGCAAACAGCTGCAAGACAAGCCACACTAGACACATCGCTTTCGTTTCAGAGTAGCCTCTACACCAATTCATATGTGAAGAAGGTGGCTCAGGGTAGGCTATGTTTATGCCGTAAGAGCTTCTATTATTTCAATTATTAGATTATTTAAGTAAACAATAACTCGCTCATTTATTTGTAGCACTCCTTGAAGTAGAAAAATGTGATTATCCTCATTTTGCCAATGTGAAACTGAGGTCCGGAGAGTGTAAGGGCCAGACTTTCACGTGTTTGAAGGTGCCCAACTCCCACTGAAATCAAAGGAAGCTACGCTCCTAAATATTTTGAGGATTTTTAATTAACAACAGAAATTGACAGGGCAGTTAGGAATTTCAGGTCTCAGGCTAACCAATCTACTAATCTTATACAACTGAAAGTGCTCTGCTCTTGTAAAAATCAGAAAATCTTTTTCTTTTTCACCTTAATTCAAATATCTCAGCACAGTCTCCGCTCTTTGTCAGACAACTCCACTGTGCTGACCCACAGGTGATGCACTGGTTACTAGAGTGCCATGGGCTGTTTCTTCTTTTTTCCCACAAGCTTCCTTCCCAGATAGGCACACTCAAGAGGGTTTGTTTCGTTGTTTTTGTCGTTATTGTTATTTGTTTGTTTCTAACACTTTCCCTTCAGTGTACCTGTGGTTGCTCCACAGGTTTCTGGAACTTTACTGAGGAAAAGTCCTGCAGCATCATCAATGACAACCAGCCCTACAAATTGCATCTTCTGTTTAAGGGCCGTTCAGCCCAGAACAAACCAGGAGTCCTGTCTCACCAGCATGCGCTGAGATCTGTTCTCTCAGAAAATACTGGTCCCAAGTGCAGGCTGGAAAGTAGGTAAGGCTCTCTGAGGCCGTTCTTCAGTTTATGGCAGTCGTTGCCATAACATTATGGAATATTGTACGCTTCCTCATAGGCAGCAACAAGTTAAAATCCCACTAATGCTATCGATTCTTTGTGAAGGAGCAATTTTTCAATTACGCATAATTAATAGTAATTACCCTTTATCTTCAGAGACCAGAACAAAGAATAATTAATCCATCTTAACACCCCCATTAAGGAGGTATTAAATATGGGGGTTTTACATGGCAGATTGCATAGTAACTTATGTGGCCTACTGTTCAGTCTGTGTTCCCTAACGCAGAAAGGAAAGAGGAAAGAGAAAAGAGAATCCTAACTATCTGAATTAATATTCTAGGTTTTGCCTTAATTTAATTAACTGGTTTAGAAACAGCTATTTGCTTCTTGCAGCAGCTTGCTGCAAATTAAAAGTGTGCTGCCTACAGGCCTCTCACCTACAGAAGCAACTTTACTATATTTGACAATTAACAACATTCGAGTGGACATTTTACTAATTTTTAACATGTATCTACGAGTAAAGTATTTGCAATTATTCCCATTGCAGAGTGAAGCTTGGAAGTTTAGGGCTACCTTCTCACTTGGCACAACACCTTTTTGCACTGCTCTTCTCACACTGTCTTTTGCTGCACAGGAAGGGAAGACTCATGATTCTGTGTTCCTTCTAGACAGCAGTGCCAGATTCATAGGCACTTCTGCCCTTTATCAGATCTTAACATCTGGCTTCAGTCTTCCAAAATGGCTTCCAATTTTCCATATCTTAATGGAAGCTCACCTTACAACACATGGGATGTCTCTCTGAGCACGCATTGACTATTAACCTGAACTGAAATTTCCTGTTCTTGACTATTAAAAAAACCAAAGAAACTCGAATTTACTATTTTGATCTTAAGTGAGTAGTCCAAGATCACACTGCAAGCCATTGAAAGAGGCAGAAACAGAATTTGCTTCAAGCACGTGGTTTTGCAAGACAAATATTCCAAGTGGCAGGATGACAGCAAAGATGAGGGCACGCGTGGCAGCTCTGGCAGACAGACCAGCAGTCTCTGGCCCGTGACAGCTTGGGTGCCCAGAAAGCTTATGGTTAGCAATTACATGTTAAGGTGATCAAAAAGGACAGCTTTTACTCCTACGTATACTGATCTGAGGGATCCTGAGCTCAAAAGGGGTGAGTAAAGAGATCTAGAAAAGGGGGGAGTAAAAAGGAAGGGACAGACTGTACAAGGAGGATGCCCCAAATGCAAAATAAAAGCATCTGTATGAAAGGCTGCAGGCCAACACGCTTAGAGAGTAAACTCTTCTGTCTCAGTGACCTTGTGAAGATAAACTGAACAAAAAACTTCAGGCAACATCAGACAGAGGATTTAAGAAGCAGCTTTAATTTTAGCCAGATTGTTTTGTATTTTTGACTGTGGGGTTATCTGGGGATGCAATGTGCATACAGTGGAACAAAATGTAGTTGTCACCCCCAACTCTGATATCGCACCTGATGGCAAACTCAGCTCCACGCTTCCAGGGGGAAGCAAATATCATGACTTTGGCTACGCAGGGAAGATCAAATTGTGGTATCACAAGGACGGAGTACCAGTGCATCCTAATTTTACTCCAGAATGTAATTACTTGGCTACCTTATGCATGAGCAACATAACAGACCTATACTCCAACACCATATGCACTCATGCTCGATGCCCAAGTGGAGCTCAGAGACAAGTGGTGTTCCTCAGGGGTTGGCACTGGGACCGGCGCTGTTTAACATCTCTGTCAGAGATAGCAGGATTGAGTGCGCCCTCACCAAGTTTGCCAATGACACCAAGCCATGTGGGGTGGTCAACACGCTGCAGGGAAGGGACGCCATCCACAGGGACCTTGACAGGCTGGAGAGGCGGGTGTGTGCGAACCTCATCAAGTTCAACAAAGCCAAGTGCAAGGTCCTACATGTGGGTTGGGGCAATCCCAAGCACAAATACAGGCTGGGTGCAGAATGGAGCCCTGAGGGGAAGGACTGGGGGGTGCTGGTTGATGAGAAGCTCAGCATGACCCAGCAGTGTGTGCTGGCAGCCCAGAAGGCCAACCCTACCCTGGGCTGCATCGCCAGCAGTGTGGGCACAGGGCAAGGGAGGGGATTCTGCCCCTCTGCTCCACTCTGGTGAGACCCCTCCTGGGAGTCGTGCATCCAGCTCTGGAGCCCTCAGCACAGGACAGACCTGGAGTTGTTGGAGTGGGGCCAGAGGAGGCCCCAGCAATGATCCGAGAGCTGGAACCCCTCTGCTGGGAGGACAGGCTGAGGGAGCTGGGGCTGTTCAGCCTGGGGAAGAGAAGGCTCTGGGCAGACTTTAGAGCAGCCTTACAGTATCTGAAGGGGGCTTATAAGAAAGATGGGGACAGGCTTTTTAGCAGGGCCTGTTGTGACAGGACAAGGAGTAATGGTTTTAAACTAAAAGAGGGGAGATTTAGATTAAATATAAGGAAGAAATTTTTTACAATGAGGGTGGTGAAGCACTGGAATGGGTTGCCCAGAGAAGCAGTGGAGGCCCCATCCCTGGAAACGTTCAAGGCCAGGTTGGACGGGGCTTTGAGCAGCCTGGTCTGGTGGGAGGTGTCCCTGCCCCTGGCAAGGGGGTTGGAACTGGATGGTCTATAAAGTCCCTTCCAACCCAAACCATTCTGTGATTCTATGATAATATGCTGGTTCTCTCTAGTCGTTATGACTTTGCCCTGTATCTCCAGAGTGACAGCAATTTACTATGATCAAATTGTTTAATCCCCCTGTACCTCAGGTTCCTCATCTATAAAATAAAAACATTCTTCCTAAAAAGAAAGCAAGGATTCACTGATATATGTTTTTTCATTGAACACGTTTGCTGGTAATTTTAATCATAGCAGATACATACAAACTCTTAAGAGCTGGCTGCATACAATAAAACATATGCATTAATGACGATGTCCATCGCATCTTATTAGCACAATTAATTCTACACAATACAAATGCAATCTAACCCACAATCTGGAGATTATGAATGCCACATAAATACAAAAGGAAGGTCTAGATCTTCAAGCCTGTAGTAAAATATCAAATCATGAACTAAAATGGTAATAAACCCAACCTGGACTGACTGGGAATAACATCTCCACATGCACACTACCACACATAACAAGCTGGGAAAACGAGACCTTGGTGCTCCTCCTGCACCTCCCCAGCATCACCACTTTATTGGACAATCGTTGATGAACACTTAAGGTGATACAGAATCTTCCAAAGTTCTCAAACTGCTTTACAAATTGTCTCTAACGTGTACAGGCAGTGCTTGTTATTTCCCCCTGTCCTCGTATACTCTGTCCTCCATAAGTTCTATTTGATAAGCTATCCTAAGACCATGTTCTCGGTCCAAGTCTGCAGGAAAGACATCCATCCTCTCTCTTGGCAGGTCTGTTGACCCGCTCTTCAATTTAAATAGCGTTGTCTGAATTTTTGTCTCCCAGATCTTTTCTTAGGAGACAGTTCTTTCCCACCTTGACTGTATAACTCACCGTCACTTGCGACAGTGTTTTGAATCACTGACGCTGGAATCAATACAGCAAAGCTGGCAGAGGATGGGAGGAGGTGGGAAAACAAATGTGAAGATGTTGTAACCTTTTAGTCCTGTGCTGTCAGCTCAACACACTGTGACACCTGAGCAGACTCACATGGCTTGTACTAACACAGGCAGTGACTCTGCAGGGAGCTGTGGTGGCTCAGGGCTGCTCTGTGCATACTTCAAACCAACAGCGGGGAACTCAAGGCAATATCCTTCGTGAAATGAAGCAGGACAGGGCTCTCTCACAACACTGCTCTCTCTTTGGACTGTGTCTCTCCTAATCAGCCTTCTGGACCGAAAACAGAGGCCTTCGCTATACATAGGGCCCAGGCTGTAGCATGCACAGTGCACATGTCCTATTGGATTACAGGGCAGAGCGCACTCACATGCTCTGCTTGCCAGAGACCCAACCGTGCCTCCGCAAAGAGAAGGAAATGTGGGAGGGCATGAACGAAAGCAGTCCGAGCAGCCCAGGACAACCCTAGCCCAGTCAGAAGGCAGGCAGGGTGGGTGATGCCAGCAGAAAGACAGGGGCAGCAAGCAAATACACCTTGGCAGGCATGCTGGGAGGCTGAGCCAGGACTTCACCGCACAAGGAAAACACATGGGAATGTGTTTGATATTGCCAAAAAATGTGAGCGTAGCCTATCAGCCAGGAGCTCATTGTATTGACAAGTGGAACAGACAACAGCTAGATCCCCGTTTGGGTATTAAAACACCAAGCAATACAGCAAAGATCAATGCACTGCAGTCTCTCTCATCGAGAAAATGCTTTTACCTGCGTCAGCTTCAGAAGCTGACAAACTTCCCCTGGTCCCTTTGATCACGGACCAAAATACAAGGTCTTTTGGCAAGACCGTACTGGGCTTCGTGCTTTTTTCTCCCCAGGCAACTCCTACTCTGCAGTTGTCAGAAAACCATGAGTCAAAAATGCGATCACAGGTGAAGGAGAGAGGAGTTAACAGAGAAAGGGAGAGACTGGCAGAACAGGCATCTGTTTCAGAGGGCAGAAGTTTATCACCCAGGACAGGATTTCCACTGGGTTTTATCATTGTTCTCTTTGTCTAGAATTAAGGTCATTAAAGAAGATGTTTCCACTCTGAATTAGCCATGAGTTCCCGCTTAATTCATAGCACCTCAGCGCTCCCGTGTGATTTGGCTCCGCGGACTGCAGCGAAACTGCTTCTCCTGTGACTTACAGGCCGCCCTAACCCGCTCCTTCTCCCACCTCGCATTCAGGTGCCCGCCTCGCGTCTTCACCCTTACCCCCGCTTCCCCTCTCCCCAGTTCCCTCCCGTACCAGAACTCCTTGTTTCCTCAGGTAACCTGTCAGAGGTGAGAGCTCTGAAAACCACCGCGGGAATCGTTACAAGCGGCTCTGTTCTGCAGTTTTCTCGTCTGTGTTGATGTGTCAGACAGCTCGCACGTACCCCGAAGGCCCCACAGCCGGCGCCTGAGGTGAAGCTCTGTGAGGCGGCCAAGTCCGAGGGCCCTCCCAGGAGCACAGCGGGGGCCCCGCAGGCCCTGCAG